GGCCGAAACTTCAGCACTATTCGATTATCTGATTGACAAGCTACTTACATTGCTTATACATGAACTGTGGTTTGTTGTGTCTTCAGAGAACTTGGTATTGGTCTTTGCTTCGTGCCAAAACCAAGGAAGTATCAGTTCAACGTAACGTCATTTCATCGGTATCACTTGGACTGGCCGGTAATCAGCGACCAATCAGTCCGGTCACAAGACGCGCGCCAATACTCTCGGTTTTTAGCTTATTTCTTTCAAGCACGACCTTCCCGGCTCCTGATATATTTTTCCCAGGGTGGTGATGTGTGACCAAATGGTGTAGTTCTCTCGAGAGGGCAGCAGTCGACAATCGTCGCCGTTACACGCCTGGCCCACCGTAGCGTTTCATTTCTGATTTCAACGACGACGTCCATCACTGCTCTGCACCATGTGATCGCAATGTCGCAGATGTGGCTTTGTGGAAAACGTCATCCGCTGCAAGACATGCTGCAGGTGCTCGACAGAAAAGATGCAGAGAGATTGTGAATCAATACAAGACCAAAACACTGCGATCGAATGCCCTGTCCAAGCCCTGATAATTTCGTACGGCGAGCAGATGGAATAAGACTAATTATGCATCAACCAATGGCAAGAGATCGGCATGCAACGTGATCTACTTGGAGAGATTCAACGGAGAAGGAGGGTCAACCGGTGCGCGTTCTCGTCGCCAACTTGTGGAACGAAACCCGCTTCACCTCTTCGGTCCTGCCGTCTCGCTGAGCAATATTCAATGGAGGTGAATTGTGTTCATTCATTAAAGTCAGAGAACGCCGGCTATTTGTTATCCGGGGACCAATGGAAGGAAAATGTTTAATGTTTCACGTCGCCTGAATTAAATGGATAAATTGGTGATCATTAAGGTAATATGTGGTTCGTAAATGTCCAGTGACACACCAGTAATATTGGCCTGGGTTCGAATATTTTTTTCTCGATCGGTACAGTGACACGGTTTTGTGTGTCGATGTGCTGCAGACGCTATTATATCGTGGAACTGTGGTCTGTTTAAAGGGTCTTTAGAGTGCTGCAACGAAGGGCGAATCCAAAGAGGCGACTCGCATGTAGCAGGATGTACGTTTAGAAAACTGCTTACTCTTTAATCTATAAATGAGACAAGTTTATTTTTGTGAGGAGTAGAAATGAAAAGTAGTGCTCAACGTCCCCCCCTTGATGAACACAGTCACAGGTTCATGTCGTCTGAAAGGGGCTTGAATGGCTTCTGGTTGCCGAAATGTTCCGGATCCGTTTCGAGAGGCACTGATTCAAACATAATTGTCGAAGAACGCTGTTGAGAAGGCAGAAAAAGAAGCAAGGCGTGAATAACCTTCACAAAGTTGCATTTTGCAGAGCGCGGCAATGAATAACTTTCTCGCTATGTGCCGATCATCATGGCGACAAGCGGAAATTGACGGAAGTTTCGAAAAGCGAAAGGTACTTATTGTGCGTCGCGTTGACTACGTCAACGAAACCGATACGTCACCCGACCGACCGACCGACCGACCGAACGACCGATCGACAGGGCTGCATGGCACAGGAATGCTCACCGTTGAACGTCGGGCGGTTGGCGTAGGCGATGCTTGCAATCGAATCGCTGGCTCTTTTGTGGAAGAATTCAGGCACCACCGGAAACGGGATACCGAAGGTTGGTTGCTTGGTTAGTTGGTTGGTCATCCATCTGCCCCGGAGCCAGCGAGTCCCTGATGGCATTTAACCCCATGACTCCTTCACGAGTTCCCAAGCTGTTGCGCAGAAGTCGATCAGGTCTGTCGCATGTAAGCCACGTCGATGGTTCCTGCCGACCACCGGTCCCCCTCGGTGCTGCGCTTCCGGCCGGAAGCAACTTCAGCGGCCGGGTGTGCGAGGCGACGTCGAGGAGACGAGTAGCGACGATGTTGTGTTTTTAAATGTTTTTTCCGTCGTGAGTATTGATTTTTAGCGGATTTTCTAAATCGCTCCTGTCGCTGCTCGACGAGTCTTCGAGTTGAAAGCTGACAGTCAGTCGTTGTGACCGACCGACCGATCGGCCGGCTGGTGCTGGTGCCCATTTGCTGCCAGTCCGCAGATTGCCGTTGCTGTTTGCCATAAAGAGCGCGCTTCTGTCTCCTCGTTTGTCACCTGAGCAGTTGCTTGTGATTTCAGAGCGATTCCGGTGAAACATCAAGAAGGCCAACCGAATCATGCTTCCGAACCACTTCCGGGCTCTGACGGCGAGCGCCGCCGCCAAACTCACAGATTCGTGTTCGTCGTTGCGTTCCTCATCTCGACCTCACTGCAGGAGTCAACTGTCCACCGTGTCGTCGCCTAACAAGCCGAGGATCCTGATCACCGGTGCCCTCGGCCAACTGGGGCAGGGCCTGGGCCAGCTGCTCAGGTAAGCAAGCTGCAGTTGTACGGTTAAAGAAAATCGTTTATTCGCTTACTTCAACAAATTAGTAAAGCTCAGCGAAAATGAATGTTCCATTTCAGCACAGAAAACAAATTTTAAAATTAAATTAAATTTTTCTTAAATTCACGTTTACGCCCTACATTTACACGTTGTCACGTCCAATCTTTCAAATGCTTCTACATCTGTCGTACAAGCAGTATGAACCAAGCAATAACAAATCCAGGAATTGGCAGGTGTTTCGACTGAATCCGCTCGACGTTCACCCGCTTGATAGCGTCAATATCATGAGCGACAGGTGGGTTGAGTTTTACGTCAGGCTACGTCACGGTCCCCCCACTATCACCTCGGCTTGGGATCAGCAACGGCAGTATACTACTGCTGACTGGGGCTCTTGCTCTGCAGCTAATTAATCAAACAGGTTCCTTTCCCTTCAGTGCGAGTTCGAATCATTCCGGTGTACTTTCTCTGGCCAACAAAATATATTTGCCAACACGATGGGATGAATTGTACTTCTCAACATGAATTGATCGGTACATGTCCTGGAATCAATCTCCGATTCTCACATTCTTAGCTAAGAGTACCGAACAACGCAGATTTTAGCAGTTTATCGCCAACGCTTTTCGCTACAAATAGAGTAGCATCATCACGGCATAATTTTAATATCGCTGTCCTTTCAAAGCTTCTTCACATCCAACATTTTTAAGTGAATGGCGTACCTTTTATTGGGCCAAATACTCTGCAGAAGCATTTGTATATACGTATATACAGCGTGCTCTCGTTCAGATCTCCTATTCATTTTGGTAATCGGTAGCACCGGAGTGTTCAATGTTTAAAATCTCTTCTAGCGGCTATTCGTCTTTTTCTATGTCTACAGTTTTCTCTTCTGGAATAGTGTCGATCAGTTTCACATTTACATAAATAATACACATTAAAAATAATGATGCCGCATTGAAATAAATAGGTAATACTTCAGGTTTATGATTCTGATCTCATAGTTATATAGATGGATGTTTGAATGATTCATGTACAACAGATGCTAGATCAATTTATTAAGCAATAAGATGATCTGCCATCTATTGTATTTGTATACTGAACCATGAATCATTCAAACACATAAGTAAAATTCACATCTACTTCTAAAGTTCCACGGACATTCTAATTCTCACGAGACGCACTTAGTGTATCGCATACGCACAGTTTCGGTATTTACGAACCTAGATTTGACGTGCACGATGTATAAATTCCTGTCATTTGCGCCATCCCATTGATTCCAAGGGCCCCAAAGATAATCGCGCACGAAGTTGTCTAGTGTCCGCGTTTCTGAAGTGATTTTTTGATATGTTTTTAATGTGTGATTTTACTTAACCCGGCTGTCCTAGGAGCGTTTTGCCTCTTCTCAAACGACATGGCAATGTACACCATGACCGATGTCTTGAAACTGGTGTTTGAAAGTAATGTGGAATTCGTCATAGATTCGCTATTCACCGAATCTTAATTCGAATATATAGCCCTTCAAATTGTCGGTTTTAATCTACCGCTGATTACACCCAGCTCTCTCACTGTCATCACGGAGAAGGAGTATTCGTTCCACATACTGTAGTAAACCATGAACCTCATCTTGTTTACGTATTTTCTGATTGGTTCAGATACGTGAGGTATGTAAACAAAATTACCATCAACCTATTCTCACACAGTTTTGTTAAGTAACAACAGGTGTGCGATAGTTATTTGTCCAATATTTTTCAAGAGTACCCTTTCTTCAAAAATACGTAATAAGGATGTCCATTTTCAGCGTCTGGGGTGGAAACCGTGTTGCATGTTTACTCCACGTGTAAACGCATGTTCCTCAAACAGCTGATGCATCACAAGAGCTCAGATGTAAGTACTTGTTCGATTGAATGGGTTTCCGATAAACAGAACTTTAAAATTCAAGCGACGATCGTCCTTTTCACAGGCACATCTGCTAATGGTATATTCTGGTTCACCTTGGCCTCGATAGTTAATCGTATTTGACCGTTGCATTCATGCAGTTTGCGAAAACCTTTCATTTCTTCATGCACGTCGCTGTAAAACAAAAATTTCATCGACATGTCTTGCTTAGAACTGCGATCAGATAGTTTTCCACTGAGCTTAAAATTGCACATGGTGCTTTCGTTCATTTCTTTCGAAATGGAGACTACTTGGTTATGTATGGCTAGGTTCATTTCCCTTATGCCCGTAAAACATTTTCTCCCGACTTCTGATTTCCTAGAGCAAGGAATACCCTCTACTCGAAGCTCTCACGAAAAGGTTAGCGAGTGTCGTCCACGTCACTCGTAGACCAGCGACTCACTGACCATTGCTCGGTTGGTGGCATCGAAAGACAGTGCAGTGAATTGCTTGCTGAATAAAATTATTTTTAATGTGCAGAATATGCGCTGCTCCCACCCCTTCGTGATATGCATAACAACATAATTCGAATGAAAAATAGCACCAGAAACGATTTTACTATAAAAGTTTTATTCCACACAACGAGTGTGCTTTGCTGAAGTTTTGCTGGCTATCTTTGGTGTTTCACAGAACAAAATATGGCCAGAACAACGTGATCATGTCGGATATTGTCAAGCCGACCCGTGCCATTTGGGAAAAATACCGTAAGCTGTACACGAGTCATTCGACGGCCACTGAGACGCGTCGTTTTCAGAGCCGTACTTGTACGTTAACATCATGGACATGTCGTTGGTGCAGCAGACGGTGGTCAACCACGAGATCGACTGGGTTATACATTTTTCGGCTCTGTTGTCGGCCGTCGGCGAGAAGAATCTCCCGTTGGCGATCGACATCAACCTCACCGGGTTACATAACATCTTTGAGGTGTGCAGGTGAGGAGTTCGCGCATTTTCCTCTCTCTCTCTCTACATGTTTCTGCCACGAATCGTTGCAGAACGCAAAAGTTACGGATGTTCGTACCGAGCTCCATCGGTGCTTTCGGTCCGTCGTCACCTTTGGATAACACTCCAGATGTTTGCGTGCAGCGTCCGAAGACAATCTACGGCGTCAGCAAGGTGCACGCCGAACTGATGGGTGAAGTAAGTACCTTTCGCTCACATGCATGACTGTCACTGAAGTTCTTAGCCACGTGGTCTTTTCTTCCTTTTTCTAGCAGTGCCTTTTTTAAGCTCCAATCGGTACACCTCCTTGTGTCCGAATTGGTCGTTTCAGTCAAGGCCAATTATAATTTCATGACCAGCGGGATCCAGAAACCTGTTATTCGCTAACTTCGTCCACGGCTTTAACATTGCAACCGGAATGAGTAAAACTTAATATCGATTAGAAATGTGACGATGGTCATACCTTATACTTTACGTCGCTTAGTAGTTTTCTGGCCCATTAAATAGAAGCACGTTCAGTTTTTCGTCACCATGGTAGCGTCACACTGCACCTTTGCCGTCAGCAGTTTCTATTCACGCATTAACACTGCATTTTAAATGAAAAAAATCGAAGCTTTAACAGAATAAGATGTATTTTACCATGCATGAGCTTCCGGTAAATCGAATTCATTCCAAACTACTTAATTTTTCATACAGGATCAACGACTTGGAGCTTCTTCATCATGTCCTCCTTGCTTCAAGATCATATTCTCTACCCAACATCCATAACCATAATGACTGGATTTTATCCTAAGGCAGAGTCGTTCAGTCAACAGAGCACATAGCTGGCGGACAAAAGACTTCTGTGTATTCGACTATCTATACTGTCGCTTGTATTTCATCTATCCAATCCATCATGTAATTGTCATCTTATACCACTTAGCAGAACGTCTGGCTGCTTAAGATTCGTAATTTTCTCATCCCAGAATTTGGATATGTTCATTGCGTCGTCGGAGCAAAGATTATGCCCCATTAATAACAGGTTCCCGTTTAGTTTTGTCAGCCATGTGCGTTGCTGGTCACCGTTCCTTCGTCGTCCAAGTGAATTTCAACAGCTACACAGACTTCGTTGCTTCTATGCAGATAATTCAGTTGTCTGTTTTTTGAGTCGAATTGCATCAGATACGTTCTCGGAAATATGAGGTCAGCTGATCGTCTCTGATGCCTTAGAGTCACATCATCTTCAATATGCATCGCATTAAGCGATATTAGAGACCGTTTATTCAAAGTTCGTATCCTCGTGTGAGAATTGTCATTTCTGTTGTGCAGGTTAAAATCAAAGTTTTCCTTATCGTGTTGCAGACTGGAAGAAAAGCCAAACAGCACTCTGTATTGGTCATCTAGCTGTAGATAGATGTCTTCACAACGTACAAAATTGATGACCGGAAAAGATCAGCGTAAACACCACCACTCCTCGCTATGGAATTGTGAGACAGGCTAACATCCCAGCATTATAAACTTTGCTTTCGGGAGCTGATCGGTTGCCTTGTGTTTTGCGGCGTAACGGGCTTCAGTTTAACTGATAGATACAAGCGAGTAGATGCTTGGTAAAACTATCGACTCCTATCTCCTGATCTCGTGTCTACTGTTGGATGTGGTAGACAATTTCTGGAACCTCATATCATCTATGTCATTTTTCTTGCAGTTTCCTTGAATTTTTCTTAATAAATTCTGACCAGGATTTAGAATGCGTTCGAAGACATTGTTTAGCAAGACTCTGACAGCTTAACTGACACTGGTGATATCGACTTACAAGAGCTGATTGGTAGAAGGATGCAAAAACTGCAGTCTTAAAGAACATGCTGTATTCTTCAATATTATTAAGCAATATTCACTCAGGGGGTTAGAAAAACTGAGGTTCATTAACCACGTAATCCTTGGTAGTGGCATCTAGCTTTTTTTCTGTAGCTACCTCATTCAGTCCATTTCCTTCAAGTGGTCCAACTGTCGCAGGTCACAATGTTGCGTCTGTGTTACTTAGCTGGCAGCACAAAACCTAATGTATGGTGTAGTATAGTACCGTATAGTATTTTGGCATCGATTCCTGTAGGAGTTTTTCAGCCGTTCTTTTCTTATGAAACCTTGCTGCTTGTAAGTGTCTACTTAAACCTGCAGTAAACGGAGTAGGCTTATTCTTCTATCCTATCCCGTGAATTTTTTCGTACCTCACG